AGAAGCTTAGAACAGTTAAAAAGCAAAATAAGCTATCATTCCTTCTCTTGAGTCAGATTTTCTTTTAAGAGTAGGGTGGGTCTGTTTCTGTCAGCTAGTCTGACCTTCTGCTTAAAAGAGGCAAGAGAACCTTACTTTTTGTTTATCAAACTACTTGAATTGAAGACGTGCTTTAGCTACCAGGGAAACTTCAATCTGCGAGACCTTGCTGCCTTGCTTCTTTAGGAGGAAAAACTAAGTAGAGTATTTCTTTAGTGGACTATGAGGAATGTAACTATTCATGAAGAACTATCATGAGGTTTTTTCCTTTGTTCAACATATTTCAACTGTGTCTTTTCAGTGAATTCAGGATCGTGTAGAACACTTTCTCCAGGCTGCTCTTCCTGTGGCTTTTCTTGTCCCTTTGCTTGCTGCCTCTCACTCACAGCTGCAACCAGTCAATTCCTTGCAAAACCTGGTCCATAATAAAGGCAACCTTTTATTTGCCTCTTTACAACTTCAACAGACAGTATATAAAGGGGACTTAATTGGTCCATTGATATACCTTGAAAGAAGATTGCTTACCTCTCCCATCTGGGATAACTGCACCTGAAATCTGAGGTAGACCAAAGCTGTACAGCAGGTTTTAGTGTAATAGTATTCAACCTTGATTAAAACCTGTTGTTTTCTGTTGAAAATCCACAGCTCTGTGACATATCCCAATGGTTGGTTAATCACGGTGTTAAATAAAAATTTTATTTTCAGTCTGAATTTGTTTATCTTCAGTTCTGTCTGTCTGGATTTTGTTGTCTTCTTTCATCAGTAGTCATTTGTGGCCTCAAATCCATGGAATAGAGTGGAGTGTATTGATTAGTTTTCTCTTGAGTAAACTGCAGGATGCATTCAATTCTTGCTAAGAGGAACATTTTCCAGTGCTTGGTCAATTTGTTCAGCTTTCTGCTGAATCCTCTTCAGTTATTCAGAATCCTTTCTCTTGTGTGGACCTCGGAGAGAATGGGAAGACCATTTTCAGACAGGGTCACTGCTTTTTTGCCCTATTTTCTATGTTGTCCTGCTTTAATATCAGGGTTTTTCAGTATTCTCAGAGTTGCATTAAACTGTGGGTTTATATTTGGCCAATTCAATGGTAATTATTGCCAAGTGCTTAGAACATAACTATTTAAGGGGGGGTTAAGTATAATATATTCAGGAACACAGAGAAGTTACAATGAAAGCAAGAGTGTTAACTCTACCTATCCATATGTATACTTTATGACATGGTTTGTAATTCCAAAATTTCAGTGTGTTTTTGAAAAATAATATGCCCATTCTGAAAGAACTATCAACAGATGTAGTGTGCCTTTTTTACAGAAATGAAAATAAACTGCATAAAGCCTTAATTCTGTCTATGAGCATCTGTTAACTTGCGAGTTATCTCTTCACTGTGGTTAGTTTGATATTCTGAAAATGGTTAGGAAAGACCAAATAAACCCATCTATAATAAATTTGTCATTCATATTCCTATTGCAATACTGTAATTTCTGATTATGATGTGAAAACAAGGCCAATTCTGATTTCAGCAGGAATTTGAGGTGGTATCTGTTTAAAATAAAACATTTTACTTCATATTGGTCTATGTGGAATCTGGAGATGGATCTGTGAACCCCTTGATGTGTCACTGTCTTCTCCCCCATTCAGATAGGCTGTTGTATCATCTCAGTTGAGAGTTTTTGTTAAATAGTTGCTTTCCCACTCTCATTTTTGTTCTGTATCCTGGATAATCATTAGTTTTCACGTCTCTGTTACATTCTGGGTCATTTTTTCCTTTGTGACATGTGTCCATTACCGGTCACACAGCTTTAGTAGGAGAGCTAGTGGATTCTGGTTAAATTTAGCAGAGGAGTTGGTGGGCAGGATCTTGATACATCTGCTCTACTGCAGCGACTGGGAAGAGGAAGATTATGACAGTCTACTTGAATATTTTCAGTTCTCTTCAGTAAATGGGTGACTGGTTTGGTGGTTGTGGGTTGGTTTTTATTTTCTGCTTTGAACTATGTTGTTGTGGCTATGGAAATGCTGCTTATTTTTCCTGTTCGTGCTGGATATTTAATTCCTCTTATTGCACATAAACCCTTCAAATAGAAAAGCATAGCAAAGAGTAGTTTTGCGGGGGCATGTCCGAGGAGCACTTGGATACACTGGTCTGTGTAGCCAGTCTATCTGAAGGAGTAGATTCGCGTTTGAAGCCTGCAGCTGTATGAGCACACTCCTTGCATTCCTTAGTGGTGAGCTGTGGGAGTGACTCTGCCACAGCTTTTTCCTCTAAGGTCTGTACTAACACCAACCCCGCTGTAGCGGGTAGAAAAAAAAGCTTGAAGCGTGTCAATGCCTGGGAAGCTCTTTTTTGTCTGGTTATTATGTTACACTGTCATGATGACCAAGTGCTGGAAGGAAGGTTGCAGAAGTTAATATACAGTGTAGGTTTTTTGGTTGGTTGTTGGTTTTGTTTTTTTTTTTCTTTTAGTTACTATTTACAGTGCCACAGTGCTCATGGCTTTAATTCTTTTAGTTTTGCTCCTTGTGTGAATCCTTGCACTTTATAATGGAAGGATTGATGGCTGCTTTCATTTTGTGGCCTGCTAGAAGGTGATTTTGGTCTGTGTTTAACAATAAATTGTTAAAGAGAAGACTCTTTTTGCTTTATCGAGCTCTGTGACCTGTTAGAATCTATCTATTTCAACCATGTTTGAGTCTCAGTTAAGTGGTTAGAGGTGAGGCACTGTGTAGTCTGTGTTACAGTCCTGTTCCAACAGTCTTCAGACCTGTCTTTGATGTTACCTAACTTTATTCCAGTGTTGGTAGAAAATAATTTAAAAGAACAAAGTAAATAATTTTTGTTGAGGATTTCTGTGAGGTGTGTATGCGAGTCCTAATACTTCAGCATTTTGCCATCTTCCAGGTAAAAAGGAAAACCTGGAAATTACTTCCAGAATTAGTAATGGTTTTGTTTCTTTTTATTGTCTGAAGAAGGGACTCAAATTGTCAGGAATGCATTTTCTATTAGGAAAAGCAACAAAACCACAGACAGTAGCTTATGTCTACACAGGACACCTTTGTAGTTCTTTTTAATTATATAGAAATTTGTCCATAAATCTTATATTGATCAGAGCTACATAGATTGCTTCATAACAAATTCTTGACTGCAGTTAACAAATGTCATCTATTGTTTAAGCCAGTAGGTATATGAAAAAAAAAAAAAAAAAGGAAAAAAAAAAAAAAGGTATTTCTCATACACACACACCCACCCACACACCCCTTTTCTTTTTTGGTCATGAATATTTTTGGTGGAACATTCAAGCATTTTTTTGGGCTTTGCCAAAGATGGTCTTTTCCATTACCTATGCTTTAAATAAAAAGCATGTCACGTTTTAACTTGAAGTTTCACGTGGCAGCTAATGTGTATCTTGCTGCACTCAGTAGATATGTCTCTGCATGTTTCATTTTTAAATAGTGGATGTTTTCAGTTGGAGATGACTGTATTACTGTAACTGTTGCTGTGGGGGACACGGAATAGGTCTCCATCCCTTTTCAAGATGGACATTAATTTTTCCAGGCCCTGCATTGCCTTTGAGTCCATGGGGCTATGTATTACTGGTCCATGTGAGGAGTAACATCAGTTTTTGAAGCAAGGTGTTTTCAAGATCATAGGCCTGTTATGTGATGATACTTGAAATACATTAGAAAAATGTGATAGAAATAAGGAAAAATACGAAGTGAAAAAGCAGTGGCAGGGATAACTTGCTTTAAAATACCATTAGTTTGGCAGTAAGCATCAATTTCAGAGTATATAAACTGTTCTATATGATGTGCATATACAAAACTTTTTTTCTGTGTGTTTCAGCCTTCCAGAAGAGGACCTGTGTTGGCTAGAGTAGTCTGTCTGTAAAGACCTCTGATCAGTCCTCTGCTTGCCCTGAAAGTGGAGACACATGTGGATTTGCTAGGGGTTAAGGGGACTCTGAGCCCTTTCTCCTCATTAGCTCCATGTTCTGTGATCCAATTTCCATGGCATGTGTTTTGCAGAAACCCTACTCCACCTGTCTCTCTTCATCTCTCTGGTTTTCCTTGTTAGGGGTATATTCAGCACTGTCCGCTGGCTTGTGACTTCACATCATTGGACATTGCATCCCTAGGCCAGACAGAGAATTTCCTGTTTAAATTGAAATTTTGGCTAGCCCTGCTTTTCTGCTTGCCATCGATAAAATATATAATGTTTGTCTGTTTCCTGTATTTATTCTTCCTGATGCTTTCTCACTTCTAGAGAGATCTTTGTCAAAGCTGTGTGGAAGGAAAGTGCACAACTGTGGTAGGCACAATATATGCTCATTTGTCAGTTAACCTTTGCCCTTTGTTGGGTTAACTGCTCTAAATCACACTTTATGTAATAATTCATTATCATACAAAAGGAAAAGGGAAGTCTATATGGAAAACAACTTGGAATGAAAATCTAGAGTTCTTATGAAAGTTTTCTATGAAAAAATCAGAGTGAAATAATTTTTTTTTTCATCTCTAGGAAGTAATACCAGGTGTTGCAAATACAGATTCTCTCAGGTATTGACAGTAGTTCTGGGAAGCCCGGCAGGAGGAAAAAATGGTGTGGGTTTGACTCCAAGACAAAACCTAAAATTCTGAGTTAATTTGGAATTGGATATTCTGTGAAAGAGCAGGGACTTTGCAGAATTGGTTTGAACTGTATTAAGCTTTCAGATATAAATTGTCTCATAGCCCACCTCAACAGTGGCTCATAATCCATCCATCAGTAGTGAAGCATCTTTTGCTTATAAAATGTTTTCAGAACAGTTTATTAAGGTGATTAAACTACAGTTTGGTCCTATTTATGATGGAATATGAAGTATATTTTATTTTTTAATGCTATGTTACTTGGTCTTCTTGTGGATTAAAAGTTATGTCTTTACAATTGTTTTAAAGTCTTGTGAGTGAAGTTGTGGTCTGTGAATATCCTGTGCTCTTATAATGCAATGTATTTACTAGCAATAATTAATTTGTTTCTTTCCCTTTCCCAGCATCTTTAAGGATGAAACCATGAAGCTACGACAGCTGAAACTAGAGAATCAGGTAAATGCTGGTGCTTGAAGCTGGTAAAAATAAGTATACACAAACAAACATTAGCCATCTAGAGACTTGAGAAACAGGGGTGAAATGTGAAAAATTATTGGTCTAAAGAATACAAACAAGAACTCATTGCTAACATTTTTCTTTAAAGATTTTCATGGCTTTTGTTAATTTGTCAACCTTGCTATGACTTGTAGGCTTGATTTCTTTGATACATTTATTTTTCATACTTATTTCATTGGGACTGAGTCACCACAGTGCAGGAATGAATCAAAAGAGAGGAAGATAGCAGGGAATTACTCATTTTAAGCATCAAAGGAAAAGAATGTTTCCCTGAGCTATAGAAAGATCTTCTTAACACTGCTGTTAAGAAAGATTTCCGGCATATTTTGACTTTTTTTGTTTCCTACAAAGAAAACATTTACAGCCAAGCATTTGTCAAATAGTAGGTCTAGGTTTTTAAAGTGTTGGATGCTTACATCACCATATTCTTCAAAGTAATAAAGTATCCATCCTTAATATTCTTCCTCTGTGAAATTTTAAATGCTTATAAATAGATTAGAAGATGTGAGATTATTATGATTCTCTAGCTGGCTGCTTCACATGGACCACAAATCACTGTCTTGCATTAAATTAATCTGTGTTCAAATTAAAGTATGTCTTTTAGAAAAGCTCTCTCTCAACTGAGGATCTCTAAATCCAGACATGACAGTCTTCAGGAAATTGCTCCAGTGGATAATAACCCTCTTTACCACAACTTGTTCATTATTTCTAGTCTGAGTTTACTTAGCTTAGACTTCTGACAGTGGATTTATCACCAGCTTTATCTGTGTGTATATAGGTTTTTATCTAAAACACTAAAAAGTCAAGGAGTAGAATTTATCTTTGGTCATATTTGTGGAAGCTAGGATGATCCTTATACCTGTAGGCTATCCAGTGACACTTGTTTGGAAAAAAAGAGGGGGGAAAAAAAAAAAAAAAGGCAAGCGTTAGTTCAAATAATCAGTAAAACAATATTTAGTGCCAAATGCCACTCGGTAAGAAGTTCCAAACTAAGGATGGTCTGACAGCTTGGTGCTGTACCTCAGTGTCTGTTGTAGGACTTGGGTCATAAACTGGTGGTAATCCCTGGCACTGTGGTGAACGTATGCCTAGTTTCAGACCTTGTCATGGGGCTGCATTGCTGTTCCACCAAAACAAAGCTGCTGGGCTGGGTGGAATTCCCTGGGAGCAGCTCTCAGTTGAATCATGACAAAGCGAGTTTAAAGGATTGCAAGAACCCTCTTGCAATTTTCTTTGAGCCTTTCTTGGATTTGTTTGAGATTGGTTTTGCAGATGATTGCAAAAGCTAGAAAATATCATCACTAAAATATATTTTAACACTACTATCCCTCCTCACAAATGAGATTTGTTGAGAAATGCTAACAGTCTCTACTTTAGGACTGTGTGTTTAGGTTTAGATGTTAACTTTTAAAGTCTGCTTTTAATTTTTATATGAATAGTATCATGCATTCTGAAGAACTAGAGATCAATACGAGATCCCTGTCAGACATGAGGGGCTCATTGCTGGTTGTAGACAATGATCCACTTGATTAATTTGTCCTAAACATTTATAGGAATTGGGATAAAAATGAAAAATGTTTTAATCCAGCAGGATCACATTTAGAACCTTTGGCCATACAGAGAATCTGGGATAAGCATTTGCCACAGCAAAGACGTATGCCTGTCATCCTTCTTTATGATGGGTTTGGAAACCCAGTAATTGCAGTACAACGTTATTTCTAATAATGCATGACATCAAGTTCCTTTTGTGGGCCAGCTCTGCCTGGCAGCCACTCCCCTAGTAGTACAAGGTGTTCCTGCAGCTCCAGGTGCAATGCTGCCATCTCCCTGCGTGTGGGGAGCACAAAGCTGAAGACATATTTCTGAAGGCACCTGGTGTGGTACTTACTCTTCACACGAAGTTTCATTAATGCCATCATCACTAGCATTGTCACTGCTGCCTCAGCATGAACTAAGGGGGAGCTCCATGGAAGAGTGGTAAGGATGTTTCAGAGGTAGGATCCATCCCACATGGCCTACTGAGGTAGGACTGTGCCAAATAATAAGTACTATGGTATTGCACCTTCAAGGGTGGAGTGGTTGGAACATTCCTGTATACCACCTTCCTGTTCATCACAGTTGTAGGAAAAATACTAAAGTACTTGTCCTATTAGTATGCTGTGACACATCTGACTTCTTAGCTTGTTGGAAACTCATAAGAACCAGAGTTGGTGGTTTGTGATCCTTTAATCATCCTGTATTCTGATGTTATACTTTACTGTGGTGCGAAGAAAACGTTTCTGAAAGTATTTAATGCATGCAGTTTACAAAATCCTGAACAAATGATAGTGTGTATCTGTTATTTAATGGGTTATGTGTTCTGGTGTCCTGTTCATGAAATATCTAACATTTTTGCTGTAATATTGTATGAATTTTTACTGTAACACAGAGCTGCAGGAAAAGGCTAGTTAGTAGACAAAATTAAACAAAATACAGTTTCGTTTTTTTCGACTTCATTTTAGTGGAGTAAGTCTGAGAATACATAGTACTGAAGGTAAGGCTGCTCTGCCACCTTATGTAGAGAAAATGAACTGCTACTGTCCTGTCAGTGGACTTGTAAATTTTTTCTTTTTCATCTCAGTAATCAAAGTAGTAGAGAGAATTACTGTCAAGTTTTGTCACTTTTATTGTCCTGAAGTTCTTGCAAAAAAAAAAAGATTGGTCATATCTACCAGCAGAAAAATGTCTGTTTCAATGTAATCCAATATGATCCCGTTGGATTGGTAAATCCTAGAAACTCTTTGATAAAACAGACTGTACTGTAATAAGAAAAAATAAATTTTCTCAACTGGTGAGCAGTGAAATGTTTAAAAAAATATCATCTAATAGAATAATCGGTTAAGTAGCTCTGAAAGTTCTTATATCTATGTTGATCCCAAGTTCAATTCCCATTCTAGCAGTAGCTGTGTACTTTCTTACTGCCTTTATGATGTCTGGTTTATTTTTTCTTGTCTATCTATTTGTCAGGTAAAGAAGCATTGGCAACAGTTTTTCTCAAATCCTTATTTAGGATATAATGTTCTGATTCTTGTTTTCCCTCTTTCCTTTTATTTAAACTATTAGAGACTTATAAACTGTCATGAAATTTTTTACTTTTCCTCAGCATTAATTTGAAAAATAAACAACACAAACCAATGTAAATTCTTCTCGAGAGTCTGACTGTCTTTATAGAAAACAAATTTTATCTGCAATTAGCATTTTCAAAGAATTTGACTTCTTCTGCTTATTTTTCTTTTCTTCTCCTAGACCAATGTGATAATCTCTTTGGAATTCTATGTAATTTTTGCTCTGCAGGAAAATCCTTGCAAATAATTCTGCAAATGCTACCTGTACTGCTTCAAAGTGTAATTATGAGTTCAAATAAAAAAGGTTGGTTTGGTTTGGGGGTTTTTTTTTAGGTAAGTGCTTGAAAAGCAGAAAGAATAAAAGACCAAGGGCTGAGTTGTGTTGCAGTTTCTCAGGGAGATGTTGCCTGAGAAACTAACCTCACTTGAGATAAAAAGCCCAATAGGAGAGGAAAGAACCAACAAGAGAGAGAAAAAGCAGAACAGGAGAGAAGGGTTTCAGAGATGTCTGTGTCTCAAGTGGATTGAATTGTTGGTACTGTTTATCTGATGGATCCTTGGAGACTGGAAAGAATTTGGTGGAGGAAGGGTTTCTATCATTAAGAACAATTTTCAGGGGGTGTACAGATAGCTAAGAAGCAGGCATGGATAAACTGCATCTATGGCAAGGGGCTTGCATGTCTTTTGCATAGTGGTGCCTTACAGAATATCACAATATGATTTTTCCTCCTTCATCCATTGCCTTAACTTTTAAGGGTTAAGTGTGGCTTTCTTTAAAATGGTGCAGTGTCCCCATTTGCCTTGATTTAAGTCTAGAAGTTGTTTCTATTCTCATTTAGTAGGAAATCATAAACACCAAATGTACATTTATCTTGGAAAAGTAATGTTTTATTTTTCAACGTTTGCATTTACCATTGTTTCCTTTCAAGCCTGAATTACATGGAAAAATTTTGCAAGGTAGATACATTTTCCTTTTACTGGATTAGTCTTATTTTAGTGACTGTAATTTTTAGATTCCCCCCCCCCCCAATCTGATGTCTTAACATTGGTTTCTGGGAACTATTTGTTTTAAGATCTCCCTATAAGGTGATAGCTTTTGAGACAAAAACCTTTTCCTTTGCAAGTCCTGCCTTTTTTATACTGGATCATAAGAGACAGCTGAATTTGTCTATATATATTAAGGATTGCTGCAGTTTAGACTGGATGGAAGGAGTTAAAATTATCTCCTGATGATCTCAGGATAGATAAGCAGGTGTCCACATCACCCTGATGGAGAATCAAAGGGAATGTCTCACTCCAAAGACACAGTGATAACTGTATCCAGGATTTTTGTAAGAGATTACAAGAGTATTCCAGGTTTATTGGAGAACCTGATCAGTGACATGTCATTGACAATGGCTGAGGTATGATTTCTGCATCCCTGGATGTGGTTATTCATCCTTATTTCATGCTTCTTTATTTCACAGAGAGCTCTTCTAGAGAAGAAGCAGAGGAAAAAACGTCTTGATCCCTTGATGGTACAGCCAAATCCTGAGGCAAAGCTGCGTAGGTCAAAGCCAAAAGGGTGTGAGGAGCAGACTCCTTTAGTAGAAACTCCTACCCCTTCCCACGGTGATGTTATTTTACATGGTAAGTAATCAACCTGATTGCAACAACCTTCCCCAAAATGTCAGTGAGTGCATTTTAAGTCACAGATGGGCACCTACATGGCTGTAACAGTGGTCAAGTGATAACCAAGATTGATTACACACCTTTCTATGTATGGTTGAGCAATACTGAACTGGAAAAACAAACAAAAACCTTAGCTTGAATTTTGACAGCTGAGAATCTTCATGTGCCTTTTGAGTAATCTTCCTTGTGTTAGGTTAAGAAGAACTGTAGAAATGAGTTAGGAACCTCTATACAGGAGGGAGATATAAAGCCAAAGCTATAGGATAAAAAAAAAATAAAAATCCAGTAGTGTCTGCGTGTAATTGATTCTTCCTGGTATCATGGTATACTCCATCTCAAGATCGCATATGACTAAATGATAAAGTAGACAAGAGCAAAACAAATGTCTTATGAATACTGAATTAGGTTCTTACTGGTTTTTACCTCATCTATTGTTTCCTGTGAGCTTCAGGGAGACAACTGAAACATGATAAACAAGCTGTAGTGGTCCAGAAAGTCACAAGCGTAGAGTGATACCAGAGCCAAAGGAAATAACTCAGTGGTCTCAAAACATTGCAGTAAAATAGTGACTATTGTTAGGAGTGCAAAGAAATACAGTAGTGAGAGCTTTAAGACTTTCATGTCACATGGAGCAAAAAAGAGCAGCAGTGAAAGCCCTACATTCCAGTGGAAGTGTCAGGAAGTAGTTTGAGGGCTGGGGTCCCATCAGCCTGTCAAGAAAGTAACAGGAAACATCCTCAGGCTTTGAGATGCATGCTATTGCAGGATGATAAAATACCACCATTGCATTCATAGGGAATTAATGTATAGAGTAGAATTAAAAAACCCTAAACAAACCAGTGTTACCTGGTTTGAAGATCACATCTGGAACTATGTTATCCCATGTCTTTTCAATGTTGTTCTTGTTCTCCAGATGTCTTTCAGGATTGTAGGATGGGGAGGAGAGTGGTGATGTGGATGGTAGCATTTATGTTTAAAATCAGGTGGGAAAAAGCTGTTAAAAGACACTTTTAAAAAGAGAGTGAGATAAAAGACTGATGTAACTTCTAAGTTAGGAATTTTCAGTAATGCTGAAACTATAAGAAAGAAAAATGAAAACTAACTGCTCCCTCACTAGCATTCATAGTTCTGAAGCTTCCTCAGTACAAAGAAATCCTGTTAAGAAGTGACAGCAGCAGTAAATGTATCAGAAATCTGATGACTGGATAAAGCAGAAAAGTTTTAAGAAAGAAAACAGTGGGAAAGCAAGAAATCTAAAGATGGAACTACACTTATATATTGTGTGTTACACAGAAATGTATTAAGTGTTACACCAGGCTCTGCTATCAAGACTTCTCCACCAATTACCAAGTGCAGTGCACAGCTGTGTTGCCTCTTTAAATGTGAAAATTTCATTTCTACCAAAAAAAGACAGAGGGCATCCATTTACAGTGTTTTTTTTTCTGCCTGTGACTGTAGATATTTTTATCAAATTGATTTGTAATGTTCACTGTAGAGCTCATTGTCACAGGAGCAAAAAAGGAATCTGAAGGAAAGGAAAATAGAGTAGTTGCCCATAAATAAATTAAAGGATATCAATGTGCATGCCAAGTGCAACTCATTCTAATTGCTTTAAGTCCTTGTAAAAAAGTAGATACAGTTACTGTATTTATAAATGGAGAAACTGATTCCTGATATGTTTATAGGACTAGGTGGTCCATACCACGGTCAGGCCTGACTCCTCCCAAGTCTTCTGACAAAAGTTGAACAAGTATACGTCAGTACTTTAAAGCAATGCTTGAGCAAGGGAAGATGAAAAGAACCACCACCCTGGGATGCATCCTTAGCTATAAAAAATAGACTTTAGCATTCTGTTTCATTTTGGCCTGCAGGCATTGATGGACCAGCTGCTTATCTGAAATCAGAAGTGCAAGATTTGGGGACCAAACTCCAAACTCTCTCTGCTGGATCTTCCAAAACAGAAGACAGTGAAGATCAGGAAAATAATGGAGAGGCTCTAACAGACACAGCAGGCAAGCCAGATCTGCAAGAAATCTTACAGAAACGAGGTAGGAGTTGACAATGGGCAAAGGTCTTTTTCAGGGCTCTTCTTAAAAAAAACTAAAAAATATGAGGAACCATGAAACAATGGACTGTAGGATATTTTAAATGCAGAGCTAGTTGATTCTAAAGCATGTAGAAATGCAGAACTGCAGTTCCTTCTTCTGATATTAATTGGAACATACCAGTTATATTTTAAAGGTTTATCAATGTGTTGTATGATTTCTGGCCTTTCCAAGGAAGGTGAAAAAATGCTATACTTCACATTTTGCTAAAGTTCAGGGTATTTTTATTCCAGTTGTAATATATCTGGATATGATCCTCAAATATTTTCACAACAGCAGAATCCTCTATAGCCAGTAATTTAACTGTTTAGGAGACTAACAGGAAAGGTGTTCTTCCTGAGTCAAAGGCTGTCCAAATTGACAGTTTTAGAGGTTTATGTTCAATAGGTTTATCCTTTTGAGTAGTTTCCCAGTGGAGTGTCTATCTCTGTCTGGCAAGTATCTTATAATGCTGCCAGTACCACAGGAAACCTTTTTTTGTTGCATGCAGTCTAAGCACTTTGCAGCAAAATAATGGCTAGTGTTTAATATGGTACACAGCTTGGTTTTATTTTGCAGAGCCCGTGTCCCAGAATGTTTCCACAACACTTTATATATACAGGTACTACTATATGTAGAAATACTTCCATTCAGTTGTCAGATGCAACAGCTGCTTACCTATGGATAGCAAGATTACGTAAGAGTTAGAAAAGGAAGCAGGAGAGAATATCCAGAAACTTCAGGGGAAATTAGTGGAGGTAGAATATAAACAGTGAATTTTGAAATTGGCCAGAGTACTAGGGTTAACGCCTTTCCTCTTTCCAAATGTGCTTTGGGAAGTTTACTGACAGGTTGTTAATACTATGTTTTTATGTTTCATCTGAGATGAAGAACTTCCAGCAGTGCCCCTTCTATGCAGTACCATGTTGGAGCACTGTTAAAATATTGGCTCTCAGAAAATAATTTGCCTTAGCAGGCTGAGTGTGTTCATTTTCTATAGCGCTTTATGTGCTTTTCCATTCGACAGCCAAATTAAAGAATGGAATCACAGAACAAAATGATGCAGTTCTAAGTGGAAGGAAACACCAAACAGTGATGTGTATGGAAGCTCTTTATAAATGTCCTTATCCGCAGTTATTTCAGCTATATACCCACAGTCATCTCTACATAACTGTGCTTAGGTTAAGATTAAATAACTAAGACCTGGAACTACTTAGTGTGCACTTCTGCTTTAAAAATCAAATCATTAGTAGTATTCGTGAGACCTGAGTTATTGCTACTGATGTAAGAATAGGAGGGGGTCTTCCTGAAGACTATCACACTCCATTTCAGTGTGTATAAGACTAAAGGGAAATGGTAAGGGATATAAACTGTGCATAGTCCAATTTACAGGATAGGTGTCAGCATATTGATCTGCATTTCCTTCTTTTGATCTTAAGGCATGGAAGGCTTTTTTACGTGAAAATAGGCAAAATTAATTCAATGACAGCACATACTAAGCAGTATGTTACATCATGTAATATCATGTCAAATATGTATTAATAAAAGCCTGACAGCTGCTTAATCATCTACACAGTGACAGCTGCAAAATGTCAGTAGGGGTTTGAATTACAAGGCTTGGGAAGCAATTCAGCACATGAAGAAAATCAGCAATTGAAACAACAGGAATTAACTAAAAGGGCAAATAGCTATGCAAGAGTCTATATGTATTAGTGATGCCATGAACTCATGACACCACCTTTCAGAAGTTACCTGCTTGATCCTGTATTCTGACAGGAATTTCAGGCAGTTTGAATTTCGATGAGGAGGACACAGAAGAGGAAGAGGCTGGTAAGAGACCAGCATCTCATTCACCGTATCCCGAATCTGAGAGGCCTCATTCTGCAACCAGTGAGAAATCTTCTGTGGTAAGTGTCTTGAAAACCATTTCTGATAAGGGCTGGGCATGTGCTTCATTTTAGTACTAACCCCTTGAGCACTGGGTTAAAATGTAGTCTACCATAGCTAGCATATTAATCCCTGAAGGCAGGAGAAGGTCATGATTGTCAGGTTATCTGACTGTCAGGCCACTGAGTTAAACACAAAGACCTAGTAATGATCAAAGGAACAATGGTGGGCGGAGGAACCCAAGTAGCCTAATCAGTGAGGATGGGAACACAATGAATCAGCTACTCCTTGTGTCCCTCAAAGGACACAGATTAGGCCATTATCTGGGGTGTAAAATCCACCAAGATGACTCAGAAAATCTGAAATGCCATTCAAGTTTAAGAGGGATCACTGCCTGAAGGTTTATGGCATTTATTGTGGGGTGCAAGGGGGAAGAGAATTTTGGGAATGAACAGAGAATTCTGGATTGGGACAAAACCTTTTATGGGGTGTTTAGGGGAAGGGACTCGAGGGAAAAGAAAGGGGTCAAGGTGGATCAGGGAGTAATAAGCATGGGAAAATAGGGAGTAAAGGGGTTAAAAGGCACCAGATGCATGTAAACAGCTGCAAGAAAGTATGCTTATCTGTCCAAGCCTTGTGCCTGATTACTGCAGCATGTCCTACTAGCTTTTAAGACTTTATTTCCTGTGTGCATGTGTTCTCCTGTGTGTGTGTGTGTGTGAGAGACAGACAGATAAACTATACGCTGGGTTAATGAGTGGGTTGGAAGAGATGCGTGTCAGGAAGACCCAGGGGCTGAGCTAGTGACCAGATGAAGGGCATAGGGTTTGGTCATGGATGCTGGACAGACTTAGAAAATTCATGCTATGATTAGTCAAGATGGTTCCACTATCACTTTCTTCTGTTTCTGCTACTGTTCTGGATCTCAGTGCTAGTTTAAGTCACAAAAATCCCAGTCTGTTTTACTGCAGCATCCATCAGTCCATCTTATCATGCTGCCTTATCTCACGCAGAGTGTTTGAAGTTCTAAAAACAGAGAGGTTCTTTGCATATTTACAGTGTCTCATCCTATTTTCCCCTTCCTAGCAATTTACTCATCTCTGGGTACTTTTTCTCCCTTCTCCTTGGAGGGCTAGTCTTTCCTCAGAGGAAAAGTCTTCAGCCACTTTCTTCAGAGAAACCCAGGTGGTCTCTTATTTAACTTTCCTTTCTCAAATACCTTATTGAGACATGAGATCTGTTTCAACACACCTTTCTTTTCTTGGGGAATACCAGAACCTCTGATCTGATATTAATTTGCTAATATGATGCTGCTTCTTACAGGAAACAGGTGCTTCCTGTAGTCCATCCTCTCAGGCAGATGCACAGCTGGGAGAAGTAGAGAACTTGGAGGATTTTGCATTACGCCCCGCACCCCGTGGTGTTACGGTCAAGTGTCGAATCACTAGAGATAAGAAGGGAATGGACCGGGGCCTCTTCCCTACTTATTACATGCACCTGGAAAGAGATGACAACAGAAAGGTATTGGAAACAGCACACAGTATCTTGACTATTGTACTCTTACCACAGAATATTTTTGGTGAAAGAGAGAGCTTCTGGTAAGAAACCAGAAGCTGAGGAGAGCCAGCATGAAGATGAGGACAGCTTATATTTGGCCAAGGCACTAAGGGGGGAATTGTCAGGTTTAAAAGCCATAATACAGTAAAAGATTAAATTGAAAAAGGATAAAAATTTCAAGGATAAAGAGCAGCAGGAAGACTGTTCCAGAAGAAAAGGAGGGAATACTAGAAAGAACAGTTGCATTAAATCTAGACTGCCAAAGTGAGCTGTTTGGAGGAATAGGATTTCAGGGTGTGCACTTGTGGAAGAGATCAAAATTGTGGAGACGGTAACAACAGCACAGAACAAAAAGGAGAATGGATGTGGGAAACAGATAACAGTTTGGATAGCAATGCCTAGCAATGTCTCTGCGTTCTTACAAAGTTCTGGTCTTGATCAAGGTTTTTTATTTCCAGACATTCCTTCTTGCCGGGAGAAAACGAAAAAAGAGCAAAACATCCAATTACCTCATATCAGTTGACCCAACTGATTTGTCTCGAGGAGGGGAAAGTTTCATTGGAAAACTCAGGTGAGAACCACAGATGGTAACTACAGACAGGAGAGACTGGATTTTCCTTTTTGTTGAGCTCGGGTTATGAGCAGCGATCTGGTATCAATTCAGAGAGAATGAACTCACATTGTCCTGCTTAATGTAATCTGTATTCACCTGGCTTGGCAACTTTCCTTCAGCGTTACCATTCATCACGGCAATTCAGAGAAGGAATCTTGGCCTGATGCTTCTCCAGGGTAGGCTACAGGCTCAGTTCACCATGGGCACTTGGCGGAAGCTCCTTGCTGAGCTGGAAATAGGAAGATTCAGATGGCAGGAGATGTGTGTTTTCACTGTGCTGTACAAACATCTTCATGAGGTGACAAAACTTTCCACTGATGCACCTCTTTTTCTCTGTCTTTCCATAACCTGGCATTAGGTCAAACCTCATGGGAACTAAATTTACAGTCTATGACCATGGAGTTAGCCCAGTCAAGGCACGAAGTCTAGTGGAAAAGGCTCATACAAGACAGGAGCTCGCAGCTATTTGTTATGTAAGTAGTGCCTCTCCCCTTTTGCTCCTTTCATTTTTGTCACCTGATTATCGAGGAAACAGGGCTTACAAAACCATGCTGCCTGGCAGCCTTCCACACTTAACTTTAGAACCAGCTGACCAATTTCAACCAGATACATGGGCAAAGGCCTTAAGGGTAAGTTCTTACAAGTTTAATTAAAAAAAAATTTAAAATATCAATGCCAGGGGAGGGAGAGAGACCCAAACCAAAATCCTGATGACCTTCTTACCTGGCCTGCCTTTTGGCATGTGGCCAGTCAGCATATTCTTTATGTGGAGCCAGCCACAGCATGAACTGCCTCTTGCCCAGCTGGTATCTGGTGCACAGTAAGAAGGAACTGGGAGTACCCTGGGAAATTTTTTGCAGAATCAAATGCATTTTGGTGGTTAGGAAGGAGCCGGTATTATTTCAGCAGCAGCTTGTTGTTGGCAAGGATATGGTTCTAGGGGAAACCATGATTTGCTAGCTCTGTCCTAGAGATATTTTCTACTTCTGGTCTTGTGCATCACCTCAGTCTAGGCTTCAGAGTGAGAATACCCTTGTGGACACTAGAATTACGTGAGAGTTTTCACATCACATTGTTTCATATTCCAGTCTTAAAGTCTGAGTAAAGCTTGAGGTTCCTTACAAAATTATGACCAGTCAAGTGGAAAGATTTTACTTTTATCACAGGGACAGCAGCAGAAATTTAAAGGTGCATCAGCCTACTGGAGCATGATCTAGATTTTTTTTGGTGTTCATCTTAATGGCACTTGGGAAAAAAATTGATGTGATAATTCCAGTGCTAGCCTGTTTACAGAACTATCACTGGATATTTCCTTTGATTACAGTATTCTTCAGTTTCCTACCTAATTGTACAGAGCAAGGTGTTAAAATGAGTACAGCAGATAACAAAAAGTCAGCTTTTCAGATTATGAACTTCTTGTAAATGAAAGTTCAGAAAAGCTTATGTATGAATAAAGTCAGTACTCTCATTCTCATATGTGCCCCTAGAATTTCTGAAGTAAAAGAGAGGTTGCAACTCCAAAGACCTTTGTTCTGTGTCTGCAGAGTGCACTGTATCACTTCTATCAATCAATTCAGTACTTTTAAAAGATTTAGACTTTTTAGTTGGTCTTTGGGAATTTTAAAAGGTTATCACTGACATTGTTACAGAACACTTTAAATGGACCCTTGGATTTTGGTTGACTTTATTAAATGGATGGTCTGAGAATGCCAAGACTTTTTTCATTTGCTTTTTATACTCAATCCACTTTGGAACAGTCTGCTGCAGTACTCTGGAAAAATCTGCTTAAGATTGAAGCTTGGACAGATGCTGAATACTTTGCCTTCTGGGTCTGTTCTTAATCATTTATAAATGAGCATGATTTGAGAGAAAATTGTAGGTATGCTCTTAAACACAAGTAACAGCACCTAAAGAACAATGTCATTTATTCCTCAGGAACATTTTAGCCTATATGGTGATACATAGATAACAGACTTCGGTCAAAGGTGTTTGCCTTTTAGCATATTTAAGACTTGCTTACTAGCAAGATTTTAGCATGTTTCTGCCTCAGATGCAAAAACTTGTGCCTGGAAATCGCACTTGTCTGATTTTGTTGTAAACGTTGCATTAGGATAAGAGATGCACTTTAATCAGGTAATACCATGTATGTCTTCTAATGCAGTTCTCAAAATGGGAAAGAAAGCTATTCTCAGTGATTAAACACAGTTGCAGTTAGGTAACTGCTACTACAGTTGTAGCTAGGAAATCTCTAAAAAACAATATAAATGTGGATTCAAGTTCACTTTTTCTGTCTTTCCTTATCTGAGATAGAGTATTTAATTTACTGAAAATATCTTTCCTTGTCTTTCAGGAAACCAATGTGTTAGGATTTAAGGGTCCCAGAAAAATGTCTGTGATCATTCCAGGAATGAATATGAATCATAAGCGAATTCCAATCCGTCCACGAAACGTGAGTTATGCAGTTTGGTCATGTTTCAGATTGGTAGAAGAGGTTAAAACTTTCTTGTAGAGGTCTGGGTGTCTGTGGTGGCCAGGGTTTTTAGAGCAAGGTCGTTAATACCTAGGGCTTTAGCAAGTCGAGTGGCGAGTAAATACAAAGTAGCCTAAACGTGTTGATTAATTTGTTCTTGTCTTTTACCTAATTTGTAGCCTTCTGAATAGTGTTTGTATCCTTACTTGTCCTTTGGTCTGCCTCAATATTAATAACTTCGAGGTTGCAATGGCTGGTGTATGGTTGCTGTTGCACCTACAACCCCTCCTCATGGGTGTGACCCCATTGTGCTGAGAGCTGGGTGAACGCAGAACAAACCTACTTCTCCAGGAGCTTACGTTCTTAGCCAGTATGTGAATTACAACAGATAGATGATGTGGTGGTATTCTGGTGTAGTAGAAAGCAAGTAAATACATTTTTGATCAGAATGTTGTCAGTCTCATTGTAGGGATTACAGAAAAGGAGGATTCTTCAAGTTCAAAGTGGGATGAGGAGAGGGATGGAGTTTTGTGGTGACTATTTAGTGAGGATTTCTTATACATGTGGGGGATGCTATAGCTAAAAGCTTGCAGAACTGTACCTGGAGATATATTAAGGTGTATGATGAAAATCATTCAGTTCCCTTAACGTGGGTTTTATGTTTGGTCTGATAGTAGACCAAAAAGCATAAAGGAGGAGTGCTGCCTGAAAGACATGGTCAGTGTTTTATCTAGAAGATGGTATTTGTAGCTGTGTTGTGAGTAGATATGAGTAGGACAAGTGGGTATTTGTTGAGGTCAGAGAAAAAAAAGCTTCAGGAGTGGAAACTGAGTCATGAAAGCCTGGAAAAGAGGTTTAATTTTGTGAATGGGCAGGAAATTGTATCTGGAGTTGGTCGCTTATTCATATCTTGGTTTTGCCATCTCCCCTGTCAGTACAGTAATGATTCCACAGCCCTGCCTTTATTTTTCTACCCTCTTTTCCCAACTGTTTTGCTAGCAGGCAAGCATACCGACAGCAGATGAGGTGGAAACAGAAAGCTGTTCTGAAAAGTCAGCAAAGCTTTCAGCATAGGAGTTTGTCTCTGTTTTTGTCTTCTTTCTCTCTAGTGTGATGCCTCCAATTAAGCAATACTGCCCCCGCTTTAAAGAAGGAAAAATTGCATCTAAATGCACTTTGGTGCCAGTTCTCAAAGTTCTTTTTGCATCTTTAAAAAAGTAAATAAAGATAATAATTAAAGATATAAAGTAAGTAGTTTGAACAGTAAGCTTTGTTTAGGTTATCCTCAAAAATCCACTATCATATCTGTGTACAATACTAAAACAGTTACCACAGGCATATCAGTCAGACCTCCACAACAGGTTGTTTTCTGCTCATTTTTTCCCCATTAAATAACTTTAGATTATTTTTCTTGTATTTTTTAACATATATTATTTCAGTTTGGATTTTGATTTGTTGCCGAACAACACATGTGTCATGTGTTGCACTCACTACTATTTGCAACTCCTTGTAATTCAGTTTGTCAAATTTAATGTGCTGTTTTACCTACTTTTTGTATCTCTTTGGTTTTATTTCTCTCTTGTTTTCCTGTTGTGCATCACTTGCTGTCAGGATGTCATTTAACCGGCTTAAGGCATACTTACAGCCTGCTGTAGCCTTTGGACTTTCTACTGAAGCACCTCAGGGCTTGGTGCTGTGTTTTCAGCACCAAGCTGTTTTTGTTTCAAAGTTTAAAATGTTAAAAGTGGCAGTTGGATCCAACAGGATCAGAGAAAGCTTTTGAGACTCAGAAGGGATTCCTGCCAGCAAGATGGCAGTCATCTGTGGCCTGTGAATTGCTCCCTTTCCTGTACACACACTTCCTTTTTTTCTTATGCTTTTTCTCAAGTGAAAATACAGAGATAGCTCATTGAGTGAAAAGGAATGCTTGGACTGGGAATCCATGGAAGTATCTTCCTGGTACTTGCAGGCAATTTTCAGTAGGACTGCATTTAAGTGCAGTCATTGTGTTTCATTAAACAGGGAGTGACCTTCCAGTGACAGAGTGCACACACATGAGAGAGGCAGAAGTCAAAAGCAGAGCTATTCCAAATCTGATAAATTTATTTCTTTCTTCTGAACAGGAACATGAGAGTCTGCTGTCAAAATGGCAAAACAAAAATTTAGAGAATCTAATTGAGTTGCACAACAAGGCTCCAGTCTGGAATGATGATACTCAATCCTATGTTTTGAATTTCCATGGGAGAGTCACTCAGGCCTCAGTGAAGAACTTCCAGATTGTCCATGACAATGACCGTAAGAGTCTGGTGGAGAGTGTGTGGGGCTTATTCAAACAGGGAGAACCCAATTTATTTAATGAGGTTTGGGGGGAATAGGACATCCTTCCTGGAGAAGAGAGTCTGGGTGAAGGAATTCAGCTGTCAAGAACAGTATATCAGGCCTCCTTTCTTCTGGGGTGTCTGCAGAGACTGCTGTCCATAGCTGCAGCAAAAAAGGGGTTAAATGCAAGGTTGCTGAAGGGAAATAAAAGGATTAATACAGCACCTTCAGCCCAGCAAAAGAGTGGCTTGAGCTTTGGTTCTGATAAGGTAATCTCTAGAACAGCAGTTGCTCTAGAGAACAGATTTCAATTCCACTCTGGTGAGAAAGGATGGATATTTGGGACTGCCAGACATGTGTGGGTTTTTGTTTGTGGTTGTTTGGGTTTTGTATGGTTTGGGTTTTTTCTTTGCTTCACTGTGAAATTGTTCATCTCTGAATCTTTCTTTTCTCCCCAGCTGACTACATTGTGATGCAGTTTGGTCGTGTAGCAGAAGATGTGTTCACTCTGGACTATAATTATCCTCTCTGTGCTCTTCAGGCCTTTGCTATTGGACTCTCCAGCTTTGATAGTAAATTGGCCTGTGAATGAGAGACAACAAACTCGAAACATGGAACTCACTCCCATCCCTGCATCTTGTTGTAAGAGTTCCAGGTGGAGTAACAAAAATCACATTGGGGATGGAAGGGAACTGGAGGCCAGACTTCTGCAGACTCATTAGAAAGTAAATACCAGCCCTCAGACCTTTATCGTAGTTGACAGTAGACATCTTAGGAGGCTGTCCCAAGAGCAGTCTCCGTATGCGTTGTGGAAGAACAAGAAATATGAGTGATGTTTTTGTTGGTGGTGTTGATTCTGCTTTCAGAATCCTTGTAACAGATGCTGCATGAGAGCAGGCTAAGGAATTTAGCCCGCTAATTAGAACCTATTGCAGCTAGGACTGGAAAAATAATGGGTTTGTGTTCATATACCTTGGAACTTCCACAGTTCCCCTGAAGATGATGCTACTGAGGAATTCCGAAAAAAGGAGGACGGTTATTGGCATGGGTTCTCTTTTGCCCTGTGTAGCATTTTGCTGTCTGTTAGAACAATCAGACATGGAAGGATTCAGGTTATGGCTCTGTGCAACTGTAGGTAATATTCAACAAATTCAGAGCTGGAACGAGACATTGGCTCTAATAAAACACTGTGGGAGGTTTGTCTGTAAAAGCTCATATTCCAGTTCCCTTTCATTATTCTAATTGCTCCATATCCCTTGACAGTTGTTTTACCAAATAAAGAACAATCCATCTCAAATGCTTCCTTTTTAGTTGGTGATATCATATCTATTGCTGTTTCTGCTATTCTTAACCATGTGAAAAATGAGACTGAATAGATGATAGAATCTGACTGAATTTGGCAGAAGGTAGTATTGTAACAATATACAGTACTATTCCTGAGAAACAGTGTTCTGATGGAATCTAAACTGTAAGCTGATCAGAAATATTTTAAATTTGTCCATTGTTCAAAAAATTAGCTACATTTTTTAGGAATAAGTTAGTGACCAATTTTTTTTTTTTAAACATGAGATTATCTCAAATCATGACATATTAAAATAGGTTTTATATAAATAATTTTAACCTGACTATAAGGAGTTACCTCAAAAAGACATTACAGGTGTTTTCAAAGGCATCAGTAAGTTTGAAAAATTTAATAAATGTATTTACAGGGCTTTGCAATGTGTCCTTGTAGTGTTCCATTTTTAACGCTGGATGAACAATATGGAGACTGTAGGTCACAGCATGGAATGCTTCTTGATTCATATGGCCTTGATTCATCAGAGTGAATTGCTGCACACTGTGACATGTGAGCCTCGTAGTGTAGACATCTGCTGTGTACTACAGCAGAGAGCAGTTACTATCTTGCCTGTGTCATGACCGTAAGGCATATTCATGATGATCCTGATCTTGCCTCTACTGAGGCAAGAATAGGTGTTCTCCAGCTTTGGATATTGTCATTGTCAGCAGACTTAACTCTGTTTCAAGCTCCAAAGAGCCAGATTTATTGCTTTTGGTCTCTGGACTCTTTACAGTGGTAGATATCACTTGCTTTTTTGAAATAATGAAACTTTGTGAAGACATTTTCTGATGTTGCCAGGAAAAAAAAAAAAAGATGGTAATCATGTGTAAACTCTATATGTAACTGTAAGTTATGAATTGATGCTGAGAACTCCAGCTCATGTATCTCTCAGATGCCCATTCTGCTTTAGCTGGTGAGCCACTGCCTTGAAATGATCTCATCAGCAGTCCCGAAGAGAACTTGAATCGTGGGTCTCTTTTGTGCCTTCATGTACTTCCTGCTCAGCAGGCTGGAGATAAAACCTGGCAGAGTTTTCCAGTTGTGCTTTTCCGAGTTCTTGGCTGGTGGCTCTGCATTCCCTCTACACGTCCAGAAAAACGAAGTCAGTTTGTTACCCGTCTGATTATTTTTCTGACTAGGACTGTGTGAAAGAAACTGCCTTATGTTAGTTGGGGGTGGCCTGAAGGTAGAATGCTAATTTTCAATTCAAGGTGAGTTTTCTCTGTTTTCAGAAGGCCACAGTAGCATCCCTTTATTCACATTTTCAGTTAGGCTTGTCAGCAGTGGCTCTTGGAGCTATTTATTGACATCAGATGATCCTAGCAGGGTCAGGGCCTCTGGTCTCAGTCAGATTATGCAGACAGGTGAACAGATTCAGTGCTCTTTTATCAGATACTGGTTTACATGAATTTGTATTTATAACTTTTATATCTAAATGAAAATAAACTAATTTATATATTGAAAAAATCCTTCATTCTAAATGAGTTTTTTTGTAGGATTTTGCTGTCACTTGTGGATGGTCTTTGTTCCTCCTGTACTAGATACTACTTCAGTTTATTCCTATCTTGTATCTCATCTCTCTTGTTACCCCCTCCTTTCCTTTGCAATTCTCAATTATCTTCCTTTGTGGTGTTTTTTTGATCTGATCAGCATGCCCAGCTCCCTCTGCTTTCTGCTCTAAGCAGAATAGTTTGCTTCTACATTACTACCAGTGAAGAAAAAAAAATCAACACTTAGAAGTCTGGGAATAAATATATGTTTGTCTCTCTAGTGCATTTTTTTTACCCCATCAGCAGATCTTCCTGTACAATTCTTGGTTTCCATTTGATTCTTGTTAAGCTAGTTGCATTTCTCTGCCCCATGTTTTTAACGTTTCTCTCAGCATCCTGATAGGGCTTTTGAGATGGTTCCTTATGCATTTTCCTCCCCTCAGTCTGAACCTGTTCTACTGTTGAAGTACACCACCATATATTTCTGAACTAAGAACTGAAATAATACAAGGCTGGGAGGAACACCAAGTTGAAGTAATTATTTTTTCCTATTTCCAGTGGGAGATGTATGAACCTCAGTAAGATAATCAGAAACCGATACAGCTCTCAATGTGTAGGCTCTATTCTTCATACACCTCTTTTTTTTTTTTTTTTTTTTTTTTTTTTCCCCACTATTTCCATCTGGGCCAAATTAGGTTTAGTTCAGAGAGAAACCTGAGCAGGAAATATTACTGGGCATTTGTTCTTAGTACAATAAAATTAATTGCATACATGCAAATGTAACATTCTTGAAATCCCAGAGAGATCTTAAAACAAAGAAGGAAATATATTGAACTGTTAAATATGAAACCTAAAGGCAGGCCTAGCAGACTAAAACAGCTTCTAGGCTGCTTTGAGCTCTGTGGCTCACAAACATAAAAGATAGTGCGTAATTTCTTGCTCTTAGGGGTCAGTCCCACTCTCAATGAAGTTTTGCTTCTGAATTTGGTAGCAGTAGGACAGGGATTTTTGTTTCTGTTGGCATAATAATTATATTCTACTTAGCATGCTCCTCTAATTGCTAGTATGAACAATCTGTAAATCAGTTGACATTGAACCAGGTTTCCTGTTCCTAGTACAGAAGACAAGCAAAGCCTTCCCTGTGATTTACAGGTCAAGAGCTAAGAGTTTGTGCAAAGTCTGATGAAACTGAACTGCAGACAGATTCCTTCTTCAACAGAGCCAGGAATCTCATCTTCTCTGCCACAGTGTCAAACTGCTGTACAGTTTGGAACTACTACTGCTGAAACCCAAAACTAAGAAAGACACTTAAGGTATCCTAGGGCCAAGAGATTTGGCCCAGCATATAGTTATGAAGGCGAGTAGAAAAACAACACTAGTGTAAGGGCTTCCTTACTGCCAGGGAAACAGCCTGCTGCAGCTGTGACATGTTAAGAACGGAAAGCTCTGCCATGAAGGAAGGCAGAGACCCTGTACCCGCTGTTACTTCGTATCTCTTGAACTGTACGGTCTGTAGAGCTTTTGTCTTCTCATTCCATCCCTTAAGGTGTTCTATAGGGAACTATTCTTTCCCTGCTGGAAGCTGGAGGTCAATTCTTTGGTCCCAAAATGAGAAAAAAATCCAGAAGTCAACTAACTTTAACAAAACACATTAAGGTAAAGGCTATTATAACTGTACACTGCTCTGGTAATTTAACATTTAACTTAGAGAATACATAAAAGGTTGAATGTATTCTAGAGGATGGAATTACTTTGATTGAATTTATATTTCCAAACAAGGTGAACCGTTGCACTGTCTGCAACGAAACAGCTTAAGAAAAAGGATGGATTTTTTTTTTTTAATGCTTAATTGGATTGAGCCCTTTATTAAAGGGAAAGTAATACTATTTTACTTTGAAAAATGACTATTTTAAAAGCTGCATATCAAAATCATTCAGATAGAGTACAGATAATGTTGGGGAACTAAATCTGAACTAACTCCCTCTGCTTTCTGTTCTAAGCAGAATAGTTTGTTTCCACATTACGACCAGTAAAGCAAAAAAACCAACCCAACACAACCCACCGCCAGAAAACCTCTGTTCTCTTGAGTGGGTTTCCATCTGTAATTGACTGGAGTCCCACAAACAATTTGTGTGATGATTCACAAGAAGGAATAGGTTTCAATTCCTTCTCTTTGAGCTATGTTGATTCTGCAGGGAAATAAGAGCAAACAATATGTTAGTCACATAATCATAAGACCTGGCCTAGAATTCACAGTTAACACATGATGAGAAATGAGTTACCTATAATATCTATTTGGGTTTTGTTAAATTACATGGTTTTAAATGTGGCTTAGTAGAAACAGTGGCTAAATTACATCATTACAGGGCTTTATGTAACAAAATAATTTAATTGTAGTTAAAAAATTAATCTTATTTATACTCTATATACTCTTGAATCCTACAGTTGTATCAAAAAACTTTTTTTAAGTATTCATAAAATTATTGCTGCATTGCCTTACAAAGAACAGCAAGTGTATGAAAGAGGATTACTAATAGCGATTATCTTCAGCACTACCAGACTAAAAAAAAAAAAAAAAAAAGTGGAGTTGGGTTTCCAAATCCCAAGACTATGCTTATGAAGTAGATGGTTTTGCCACCTGGTTTCTGAGGCCATAGGACACATTTAGGTCCTGTTTTCAGTTTCTTTCTCAGCAATTTGAAAGAGTTACTTTTTTAGCTTTGGGTTCTTAGCAAAAGCTGATACTCTTTTTAATCCATTCCTTCATTATACTGAAGTTTTAAACAAAGCCAACTGTGTCCTGTCTCTACCACATGTAGTTATGTGCACACCAACCAGGCATCTGTGCCAAAGTCACCTGCTGGAGACGTGAAGAAGTTTATTTTGCTGATGTAGCTGCACTGCCTGGAGCTGCTTATAATAGGATGTCGTTACGTTTACTAAACTTGCTGGTTTACTACTGCTTTTGTTCTGGGGATGAGGCTCCATCCCTAGCGCAGCTCCCAGTCCTGTATCAGCATTTTCCAGCGCAGCATGTTGGCGTTCCTCTGGGAATGGACAGGAGAAGAGAATCGGTCTGAGGCTGAGGCGAGCCCCCGAGGACATCCTTTTGCTGTGAGGTCAGTAGTTTACTTTCTGGGGTGCTCTGGGGAACAATTAAACTGGTGTAACCACTTCTGCGGGCTGGGGGCTGGTTTGCCTTGCAGGGGCTCGGCTATGCCGGGTGGAAATCCCAGCCCAGCCCTCCGGGGCTTCGGCGCAGCGGGGTCCGCGGGCCGCGCCTGGCCCGAAGGGGGTCCCAGGGGAGCCCGGGGGGGGCTGTGGGTTCCCTGGGAGCGGAGGAAGGAAACTCC